AATGGGATAAGGACACATGGAAGGGAAGAAGACAGGTCCCTGAGCACATCCACCTAATTATACATTCTGTAAATTACTTGTAGGAGTATGTTGTTACTAGGATAGTCCATACATCATTCTCTGAAAATGTGTCATTGTCAATGTCTTCTATTTTAACACCCCGGGATGTGAGTCCATAGGTATAAACAAATTCAGAAAAATCTTTAAAAATACTGAACCACTCATCTTAGCCTGGTATGTACATGGGAATGATAATGCCTTATGGGTAACGTTTCAAATTTCCAATGTGTCACATCTCCCCAATTTCTCCTGGAAAAACTTGGGGATTCTACTTCCCTAACCTAGACAGTACATGGCAGACACCTTAAGGCAATTTCACAACCCTAGTAACTGGGTTTATAACCCCAGTTCCTAATATCAATGTTCTAGCCTACACTTAAACTGTCCTACAACAAAAAATCACTCCCTTATCACCTAGCTTCTTTCACATGCGCCCGACGTGTCCCAGACCTTGGCAGGAGGCACGCGGTTTGATGTCTCACTTGACCTCTGCCAGGGAACATCAAAGAAAGGATCTTCCCTACGCAGGAGGCCTTCACCGCGCCCAGGAAGCCCGGAATAAACATGGTTCCCGAGGGAACAGAAGCACTCTTGCCCTCACCTAAGATGGCGGAAGGAGGCGGGGCAGGCAGGCGGAAGTGGCTGCCAGCCGACTGACCAGGCACCATGGCTGCCTCTGCCGCATTGAGGCGGCTGGATCTGCGGGACTCCGCGGCGCTTTTCGAGACGCATGGGGCTGAGGAAATCCGCGGGCTAGAGCGCCAGGTTCGGGCCGAGATCGAGCGCAAGAAGGAGGAGCTGCGACAGATGGTGGGCGAGCGGTACCGCGACCTGATCGAGGCGGCAGACACCATCAGCCAGATGTGCCGCTGCGCCGAGGGGCTGGTGGACGCGGTGCGGGCCACCGACCGGTACTGCGCCCGCCTGCGCCAGGCCGGCTTGGCCGCGGCCCGGACCCCGCGGGCCCAGCAGGTCAGTCCCGCGCCGGCTTGCTGGGGGGGGGTGCCCCACGGTCCTGGGGGTCGGGGACTGCACCGCGGGCTCCCTGAGGAGTGGGGGGCGCCGCGGGCTCCCTGGGGAGTGGGGGGCGCCGCGGGCTC